AGGATTCCCGGGAAAGGGGTTTTCGCTTGCGTTTTTTTCCAAATGCTGCTCTCGCTGAGGCGCCGGCCTCATTTCTGCTCCCGAATCGTTCCGAATCGTGCTCCCGCTGCAGCGTGGGCTTCATTTTCGGATCGGTGTTTGGCCTCCGTCGTTCAGGATGGCGTTCCCGCCCCAGCGCGGGCCTCTTTCTCGCGCGCCCATCCGCCCGCCACCACCGCGCCGCACCACCACCACCACCACCACCACCACCACCACAACCACCACCACCACCACCACCACCACCACAACCAGCACCACCATCACCACCACACCACCACCACCACCACCACCACCACCCACCACCACCACCACCACCACCACCACCACCACCACCACCACACCCACCACCACACACGCACGCACGCACGCACGCGCACGCACGCACGCACGCACGCACGCACGCACGCACGCACGCACGCACGCACGCACGCACGCACGCACGCACGCACGCACGCACGCACGCACGCACGCACGCGCACCACCACCCACTACGCACGCGCGCGCGGAGCCACAGTCCGCTACGACACGCGTCCGCGGATAGAGAAAATCAGCGCCATGGTAAGGGATGGGAGGGAGGGGTAGGACGTCAGATATGACGCGAGCGCACCTAGCTTGCCTTCCCCCCCCCTCCCCCCTCCTACAATTACTCAATATGAATACTACTCTCCCTCTTCCCCTGATGACGTCTTGGGAACATTCGCCCCCCCCCCCCTGCGTATTGTTTTTTTACACGCAGGTTTCCCCGGAGTTGGGTTTTCGCCTGCATTTTTTCCAAAATGCTGCTCTCGCTGAGGCGCCGGCCTCATTTTCGGGCCCCGCTCGTTCCGAATCGTGCTCCCGCTGCAGCGCTGGCATCATTTCCGCCGGCGCCCGGGCTGCACGCCCGAGCCGGCGCCCAGGCAGGCGCCCGGGCCGGGTCCGGAGCCGGCTCCGGCCGGCGCCGCAAAATCGAGTTCCGAGGCGGCGCCGAAAAAAGGCCATTCCAATACAAGTTTTTCTTTTGAAAATGCTGAATTTCTGCTTCTGGCGCCCGGGAAGCCTTCCTCCGAGTTAGGTTTTCGCTTGCATTTTTTTCCCAAAATGCTGCTCTCGCTGAGGCGCTGGCCTCATTTTCGGGCCCCGCTCGTTCCGAATCGTGCTCTCGCTGCAGCGCTGGCCTCATTTCCGTGCTTCCGCTCGTTCCGAATCGTTCTCCTGCTGCAGCGCTGGCCTCATTTCCGCGCTTCCGCTCGTTTCGACTCGTGCTCCCGCTGCAGCGCTAGCGTCATTTCCCGTGCCATGCCACGGCATGCAATGCAATGCCAGGTTGATACTACGCTTCGCGGTGCTCTTCTACGCCATGCCATGCCGTGCTCTACAATGCATCGCGTACCCTTACGGGATCATCGCCCTGCTTGACATCCGACTGTGCGAGTAGAGAGGGGATCTGCGCCATGTTAAGGGATGGGAGTGAGGGGTAGGATGTCAGATATGACGCGAGCGCACCTAGCTTGCCCCTCCCCCCCTCCCCCCCTCCCCCCCTCCCCCCTCCCGCGCCCCGTGTGCGGGGCTGCACTGTCCAATGAGGCGCTTTCCTGTGGCGTTGCCGTGCTCCTGCTCGCAACGCACACCGCCAGAGGCGGCGGAGAGCTTGAGAGATCCACCTGCCAGAAATATGGAAGCCCTCCCTCAGGAGGCAACTCTTCTGGGAGGTCGTCGTCAGAGCGAGGCAGGGCGATCGAGCCCGCTGGAGGGGCCCTTGAGCCAAATTGGGCCTGGCTAAGTCTGCGATGAAGGCGGATTGCAATAGAGGCCCGACTAAAAGAAACCTTCAACAAGAAACCCAGCCCTGAGAACCCGGGGCGTCCATGGATTTTTGGTGTGGGAACGTCACGCTTTCCATCGCAAAACCATCGAAACCCAAAAAGTCCAGGGCACCCTGGAGGCGAGCGGGGTGTTTCTTGGCATGGGTCCCCACTGTACGAGGGATCAAGCATGAGCGGGACCAAGAGGGATTCAAACCAGATTTGGCTGGTCTTCGACCTGTGGTAGAACAGCACCGATTCTTCATGGAACCTCTCCCGGGAGTTGCATCCTCACCTCCCTGGGGCCCCCCCGCGATCGGTCAGAGCGCCCTAGGTTGTCCACGATGGCTCCCAAATAGCTCCAGATAGCCCTAGATGGCCTGCAACATAACGCAGGATGGTCAAATCTGGCTAAATAGGTATAGCCTCCGGTATGGCTCCCAGATGCCCCCCAAAAGTGCCAGCATGACTTTCAGGTGACCCCGGGGCCTCCCAAGGATTCCAACATCATCGCAAGACGTACATATGATCAATAAGTGGTGTCTTCTCGCTTTTTCATTCCTAATCTGGTTCTGGGGCCTCAAGATAGCCCCAAGATGGCCAAGGTGAGCCCAAATGTTGGTTCAAAAGGGTCCCAAAAGTAACCCAAAGGCCTTCAACGGCACACCCAAGAAGAG